TGCCCCCACCATGCAGGCAGATCCCCTTGGCACTGGAGCCACACACGGTGCTCCCTGGGTGCCACATGGGCTGTGATGTGCCACACAGCATTGCCAGAGCCCATCACTCCCCAGGGGTGTCCCACAGCATTGCCAGAGCCCATCACTCCCCAGGGGTGTCCCACAGCATCCCTGCAGCAGCTCAGGGCCGTGCCAGTGCCCCCAGTGCAGGACTGCCGTGGCATGGCCTGCCTGGTATGAGAGGGGCAAAGCTGTCACCGGGGAACCCTCTGACAGAGCCTCACATACTTGCAATTTGTTCCCAGACCCTTTGTCCCCCCACCCCTGACCTTCCTGGCAGTCCCACAGGCTGTGAGGCAGGGAAGTCATTTATAGCATCGTGATGTCCATGGTGGCAGCAGAGGCAGGCTCGGGATCAGGCCCTGCTCTCCCTGTGCCCAAGGATATGCCCACGTTTCTGTGGTGAGTCTGCAGTGGCAGCTTATCTCCACATTCACCTTCCCCAGAAGCAGGACCCTCCTCCAGACACGCTCCCAAAGCCTCTCTCCTTCATCACTGGGATCCAGGGTCTCCTGGCAGGGACCAGCCCACCCCAGCAGCAGCAGCAGCACCACAGAGCCTCCCACCCCCAAACCCCAATCCAAACTTGCTCACTCTGATTTAACAGGCTCTCAGCAAATATTTCCACAAATTTTTAAATACAGGCATTATTCTTTTATCTTATTATTTTATAATTAGAGCCAAGATCCTCAAACCAAATAAATGAACCAAGTAAAATGTCTGAGATCAAGAACTTGCCAAAGCAGAGCAGCACCTTTCTAGTTTGGTTGTGGTCCAGGCACTTTATGGCAGGTACTTTTTACCTGGCTGATGTTCAACTGACAGTTTTCCAAGCACATAAAAAACTTATTAGGCTGAAAATAGAGTCTGTGACCATAAACTGTCAAGAGCACTGTCAGCATTTCCAGCCCAAGTCTGCTTTGTGTGCAACCACTGGGAGATCAGGCTGCTGGGGGAGCAGGATGGAGAGGATGGGGCTGTGCAGCCCTTTGCAGGACCCATTTTGGGTAGGAAGGGTATTTGGGAAAGGCTTACTAATGAGCTGTGGGGTATCAGGAGGCAGCATGGCAAGGTATAGCATGGCTGGCACTGGGCAAGGTGGTTGAAGACAGTCATATGTGGAGCTGTGTCCACCTGCCCTGGGGTTTGAAACCAGGAGGCCACATCCATGGAGACCATGTGGAGATGATCTACATTTGCAACCAGTTTATATTCAACACTTCATTGACTCCCTTGCTGAGCTTCCAGATCACAGTGCAGAGCAAAGTGCCCGCAGCCATCTGAGCTCCAAAGACCCCGGGAGGGAGGCAGTGGGAACTCTCAGAGCAGAGAGAAAGCAGGAGGTTACTGAGCCTGCAGTAACCCTGAGCATGGCCAGAGGACACAGACAAGGCAGCTCTGGTGAGCAGGAGGATAATTTACAGGATGATTTATGGAGTCATGGGGCAGAAGTAAACACAGCTACATCCAGCCTGGACCCCATCAGGGACTCAGCTCATAGTGCTGCCTGGCTGGGGTCAGCCCAGCAGCCCCTGCAGCCTGTTGTGGTGTAAGGACACCATCTGGGCAGCTGCAGCTGGTTGTCATTCACACGTTGATACCTAATACTTTTCAGAAATTAAGTAATCCATTGCTTTAAAAATACCCCGTGGCATCGCCAGGCTATCTATGATCTCGGTATTAAATGGCATTAAACCCAGAATAGCTGATGCTTTTACTAAGGCAAACAAAAGCATCAATTTGGTGTTTAAAAATAGCCAAAAGAAGCAGAGAACACCAGGATGGTCCCCAAGCCCTCAGAGAGCTGGAGCACCTTGTGGCCAAAACCCAGGAGGGGGCTGATGCCTGATGGGACATGGGACTGACTCAGACAGACCCACATGCTGGTCCCTGGTTAGTGCCTTTCATCTGAGACTGTTAAGCAGCTTTGATTATTTCAATCCATTAGAACTAGAAAAGCTTTTCAATAAACTCCCTGCCAGCCTGGAATTAGTAGATGTGGGCCAATTAGACACATTAATTAGGCACTGGTTTAAACACAGATGAAGTTTGACTTTGTTTACCAACCTCAGAGGAAGTAGCTTCTCGAAGTTCACCTCCAAAGGACTGAAAAAAAGGCAACTTTACTCCCAGTCCCAAGCACCTCACAACAGAAACACAGCACTTCAACTTTGGTTTTATTTTCAGAGCTCCCGCTTTCCCTCTGCCTCCCCACGCAATAAAAACGAGACATTTAATCTCATAATGCAACTTCTCACTGAAAATCAATGATAAAGTACATTATCTTGCCTGCCCTGAGCCTGTGGCTCCGGCTTGACCTTCCTCGAGCGCAGCGAAGTCAGGGGGGGAAGACAAAGGTTGAACTGGAGGGTTTGGCAGTGGGAAAGTGTGAAACTTTCCTGTGCCTCAGGAGGGGCAGGACAGGATGGCCCTGCACGACAGCCATCTGGCACAGTTTGGTGTCTCTCATGCCCCGTGCTCGCTGCAGGCAGGAGAAAGCAGCGTGTGAGCAGTGAGAGGCAGAGCAGGCTGAATCCAGCCTGAATTATGAAGCCTCCAGCCCCACCCTGAGCACAGTCCTGGTTTGTTACTGGGGGATTTCTCATTAGGAGATGGATCCTGCTGCCCTTGTTCCTGCTGAGAAGCATTTATTCCACAGGGCCTTGTGACCTGCACGAGGTCAAAGCAAAGCCTGAAAGGAGAAATCAGTGACATCCCAACGTCTGTAACTCCCAGAGCAGCAGGGAAGGGCCATGCTGAAGGAAGAGCTGGGCCACAAGACACTGCAAGGTGAGGATTTCTTCTGGGCTGTGTGACAGGCACCCAGTGATGCCATTACCTTAAAAATTCCTTCCTCTGCAATGGAACCAACAAGAGCTCAATTAGCAGCCCTGGGTCCCATCTCCAAGGTAGGATGTCATTGCTGACCAGTGGAAAAAATTCCCAGCAGCAGGTGAAGTGTATCTGCTCGAGCAGGCAGCCCCCACACGTCTCTGGGTCGGGAGGTCTGACAGCATCCCAGGCCCCGTTAGCAGGGCTGCAAACACACCACAGGGAACACAAACCAGACACATTCCTTCAGCAGAGGCTGTGCCACATGATTTAGGGGGCTGTGAGCGCTGTGATGTCGAGCAGCAAACCGACAGCCTGTGCTGCTGCTGGATGGATGGATGGGGGAGGCTATTTTCTCTCCAATAACAACTTTCACTAATGGTGCTGGCATGGAGGCTCGGCAAGGAGGAGGGAAGTGGCAAGTGGCCAGGGTGAAAAAGAGTTCACAATTACAGTAGGAAAGGCCACTGTGTCCCTCGTGCTGGCCATGGAAATGCTGAGGACAGGGCTGGAAGGGGCTCTAAGAGGGCATTGAGTCATCCCCTGCCTCAGGAGAGCATCTGCTGTACCCAGAGCATTTTCAGCAGGCACCCAGACATCTGCTTATCTTATTTTTAAACTCCTCCAGTGACAGGGTGCCACAATCTCCCCCAGCAGTCTGTTCCAGTGTTTTACTGTCCTCATAGTTAAAAAGTTTTTCTTACGTCCAATGCAAACCTCCACTGTTGCAAAGAAAGCCCAAAGCATCTTGTCCTCTCCACAGAGAGAAGCAAGATGGATGAAGAGGGATGTAAGCCTCATTGGTTTTTTTACTTGTTTTATTCCCAGCCAAAAGAAAGACAGTTTATTTCTTGAACAAGATACCATCTCCTGCAACACACAACTCAGAAGTATCTTTCTATTTTTAAAAGTGAAGTATAAGAGTTACATAAAAGCTGTGGAAACCAGGAATGAGAAACAGGGTCTTCACTCTGCGGGCTCTGTTTCCTACCCCAGCTAATTTCCCCACTCCTCGGAGCTGACCTGGGCTGTCCACAGCCCATCAGTGTGAGGAGGCTGCACTCGCTGCCCTCCTTACCAGCACAGGGCTGACAGGCCCCACGACCCCTGTGCCTGCAGCCTCTCATACATGTGCAAAAGAAAGCAGCAGAAACCCTGAACCTGGTTATTTTGTTCCTTTCTGCCCTCTTAAGACAGCACTGGACACGAGAAGCCAGACTGTCTGCTCTGGTGACCTGCTGAGAAAAGCAGAGATGGGGCAGATAATGCAGACAGAGAACACAAAATAGATAACTCAGGTAGATAACACAAGACAACACAGATAGACAACACTGATAACACAGATAGATAATAAAGGTGACACAGATAACATGGGTAACACAGGCAACACAGACAATATGGGTGACACAGACAGATAACGGGGGTAACACAGGAAACACAGGTAACTGTTCCTCAGTGCCCTTGGTGTGAAGCAGCACTCCCTGCCCACAGCTGGGCAGAGCATCAGGAGCGGGGGCTGCCTGCACGGGGATGGCACCGCAGGGTACTTCGGGACAGCCACACAGCCCTAAAGGCCCTTTCTGCCACCAGGGCAGGCAGCGAGGGTGCTGGCATGAGAACCTCCTCCAGCCTGGGCGCACGCAGCCAGGGGCAACTTTGGGGGCAACGGGGCTGTCACCGGCGCCACCGGCACGGGACGAACCGCGGCCTCGCCAGGGCTCACCTGCAGCCCAGGGTGCCAGGCACGGGAGACTTGGGAGACAGCAGAGCCAGCCTTGGTGTGAGTGCGAGCCGGTGACCGAAGCAGCCGCTGCCTACGGAGCCGGTGCGGGGAGCGCGCAGGAGGCGGTGCCCGCGGCACTCCGGAGGCGCTGCGCGGTGCCCGCGGTCGGTGCGGGGGATCCGTGCGCGGTGTGCGGTGCGCGGTGTGCGGTGCGCGGTGTGCGGTGCGCGGTGTGCGGTGCGCGGTGTGCGGTGTGCCGTGTGCGGTGTGCGGAGCGCGGGGGGCGGTCGCGGGGGGTGCGCGGGGGGTGCGCGGGGGGTGCGCGGGGGGGCGGGCGGGGGGCGGCGGCGGGGCCATGCGGAGCCCGGGCTGAGCGCGGCGGCCGCCCCTCGCCATGAAGCGGCAGAACCTGCGCACGGCCGCGCTCATCCTCTGCATCTTCTCCTACCTGCTGGTGGGCGCCGCCGTCTTCGATGCGCTGGAGTCGGAGGCGGAGAGCGGCCGCAAGCGGCTGCTGGAGCAGAAGCGCGGGGAGCTGCGGAGGAAGTACCGCTTCTCCGCCGACGACTACCGGGAGCTGGAGCGGCTGGTGCTGCAGGCCGAGCCGCACCGCGCCGGCCGCCAGTGGAAGTTCGCCGGCTCCTTCTACTTCGCCATCACGGTCATCACAACCATCGGTGAGTGCGGGCAGCCCGGCCGGCGCCCGCGGCATCCCTCCTTCCCCAACCCACTGCACGCCGCGTCCCTCCATCCCCACCTCCCGATACCCCGTGTCCCTCCATCCCTATCTCCCATCTTCCTCTATCCCCACGCCCCTGCATCCCGTATCCCTCCATCGCCACCTCCCTGCACCCCATCCTCCTCCATCTCCACACCTCCAGCACCCCTGGGAGCTCCAGGACAGCCTGGGGGATGCCCACATGGCAGAGGCAGGTCTGCTCCTCTCAAGGCTTGCATCTCTTTAGGCCACCCCCGAGCTGACCCTGTGAGACCCTCAGTGCCCAGCGCTGGGGAAGGCAAGGCATGGGCAGGCTGGGGCCACCCAGATGCCGGGGATGCTGCTGTGACTGGGGCCACGAGAAACGATGGTGTCCCAGGGAGGCAGCACCTCGTGGAGCTTCTGCAGGAACCTTCGGGGCAGGCAGCTGCCCAAGCTGGCAGCGATGTGGGAGGGCAGAGGTGGGGGCCACGTCTGTCCCCTGCTCAGGGCTGTAGCCAGTGAGCCGAGCGAAGAGCTGGGCGAGAACTGTTGGCTTCTTTGCCAGCTCAAAACTCCAGAGGTTTGGCTGTGTGAGACCTGCTTCAGGGAGCCAAGAGAGCCACCAGCCACTGCCCCTCGCTCTGCCTGCGCGGGAACCTGCAGAGAGATGGGTGTCAGCTTGGAGGGGAATGATTGAATCACATTAAACTCCCACACAGACACACTCACCTACACTGGAGCCCAGTGCCTTCAATTTTGCAAGAGAATGAAACTAAATTGTTTGAGGGTTCCCTTAATTCTAGGTGATATTAGCCACATGGGAGTTTAGCACTGTTTAATTAATCCATTTTGATTAATCCATGCACCCTGAGCATCCCAGGGGGGTAGACAGGCTGGGATCCTGTGCTTTGCTTGTGCTGGGATTTCAATCAGCAGATGTGTTTTGGAGGCAGGAATTCTGAGGCCAAATCCTGTCCTGCCACAGCCAGCAGCCACCTCCTCATCTGCAGGACAGGACTCAGCCTTACCAAAGGGCTTGGGATGGTTGAAACACCTCTGGTAGCTGAAAGCATCATCCCCCAGGACAAGGGCTGATGGGATCAACTGCACCGTGTTACCAGAGGACAAGAGGTGGCAGAGGGGCAGGAACCCTGCAGGCCCTGCCTGGGGTCTCCACGTGTTCCCATGGGATGGGGGCCGTGCAGCTGGGAACACGTGGCCAGCAAATAGCAGCGGGCTCAGGGCACAGTTCAGGTGAGGCCCCAGCAGGAGGGAAGGGTGAATGGCTTCAGCAAAAATCTCCATCACTGCCTGACAGGTTATAGCTTCATTTACATGATTTTCCTGTCAGCTGTGACAAACAATGGCTACGCTTCTCACACGCCCCGTGCGATAAATAATTGCAGCCCAGGTGCCATATTTCTGAAACACTGGCATGTCAGATCTCTTTGTGTTGGGCTGTGCTCCAAATCTCAGTTTTAACGTTAATGTAGCTGTGTTTATTCTTTCTAATTCCCTTTGTCATTTTGAAAGCATCAGTCAAATGCTCTTTCAACAGTCTCTCAGGGTATAACAACTGTTTTTCCACTTACTGCTCTTCTGGATCATTATATTTACCTCCTCATTGCTGTCATTGTATTATCTGGTAGCCTGGGATCTGGTAATTGCACTTGGTTATTAAGCTTGGATCTGACAGGGGTTTTTTGCCACTGCAGTCTCCTGTCTGCTCTGTATTCTGTGAAATGTGGCATGCAGGCATTAAGTTCATAATTTTTGATTGTGTGGGTTTGTGAACAGACAGAGCAATTAGAAGCTGGTGCCTTCCTGCCTGCTCGCAGCTCAGAGCGCAGCATGGTGCAGGATGCTGTCCTCAGCCCCTCAACCCTGTCCCAAGCAGGAGTTTCCTGGAGCAGGAGAGGTGTGTTCCAGAGCCTGGGATAACATGGTTATCCTCCTCTGGTCATCCCATCACTGTATGCTGTCAGCTTCCACAAGAGTCCTGGAAACCCACTGGCAGCAAGGACAGAGGTGAAGCCAAGTCACAGCTTAGAGTAAAGACAGAAATAAACAAGAGGGTTTCTTCTCCACGCAAAAGTCACACAAATTCCTGCAAAAAGTGAAAATATAAGTAGGTGTCTGTGAAAGGCCCTGGCAGCAGCATGGGAAGGAGCCAGGGTTGTTCTGCAGGCACCTTCAGAAGGGAAGTTTCTGGCCCTGGTAGTTTCTTGTAAAAGAAACTCAGAAGAAAGGCTCGGATGCCTTTGGATGCCTTTGGATGCCGTTACTCCCCACGCCACGTGACTCCCTGGCACCGAGTTCGTTACTCATCTGCTGAGGGCAGGGGCCACTGGTTTCTGTTAAGCTGCTGTAATTGAGGTGGGCACAAAATCGCTGGAGTCCGGAAGATTGCAGCGAATACCTCATTATGCCTCACAGTGTAATTGTGTGTGTCCTTGAGTCACAGCTCTGGAACTTGGACCAAGGTGGGGAAATTAAATCTCAGAAGGCATTCAAGGCAAACCTTGTCCTCCTTGAGCTCCTTGTCCCCGGGACAAGGGCTGACAGGGTTTCAATGGCATAAATGCTCACTTCCCTGCATCTAAAACAGCACAACCCGTCCTCCCCAACAGTCCGGCCGTGATTTAGGTCTGAGTCTTGGTGACACTGGAGTAAATCTGGAGTGGCTCTGCAGAAGTCCTCCCACACTTATAAGCTTCTGCAGGGACTGGCTCTATAACTCCTGTTCAACAAGGTCACACAGCGGGTGCTCATATGGCCGAGAGTCAAAGGTTCCCGTGACACCGGAGTGCTCAGGGGGAGCAGGAGCAGGTGCCAGGGGAGGTGTCGATGCCCCTGCAGGGCAGTCGTGGACAGTCCTGGCTGGGTGTGTTCCCTCCCACAGGGTGACCCTGGCACTGTTGTCTCAGCATCCTGCAGAGCCCCCATCCTCCCTAAGGTTACCCTGCACACCCGGCACTGCATTGGCATGGCCTCTGAATTGTTTGTGAGCTGCAGGAGGCTCGTCCAGCTCTAGACCCCAGTCCAGCTTTAGGGCCCCTCATGGCCTCTGCCTCCACTCTCCTACTGCTCCTCTGGTCCCAGGGCAGCCTTGCTGGAAACCCCAGCGAGGGCTTGACACCACTTTTCCTCTTTCCTTCCCAGGCTATGGACACGCTGCCCCGGGCACGGATGCCGGCAAAGTTTTCTGCATGTTCTACGCCATCCTGGGCATCCCCCTGACGCTGGTCATGTTCCAGAGCCTGGGGGAGCGCATGAACACCGTGGTGCGGCTGCTGCTCAAGAAGATCAAGAAGTGTCTGGGCATGAGGACAACCCATGTCTCCATGGAGAACATGGTCCTTGTGGGCTTTCTGTCCTGCATGGGCACCCTGTGCATCGGCGCCGCAGCCTTCTCTTACTTCGAGGGCTGGACTTTCTTTCATGCCTATTACTACTGCTTCATCACCTTGACCACTATTGGCTTTGGAGACTTTGTGGCTCTGCAGAAGAACGAGGCTCTGCAGAAGAAGCCCCCGTACGTGGCTTTCAGCTTCATGTACATCCTGGTGGGCCTGACCGTCATCGGCGCCTTCCTCAACCTGGTGGTGCTGCGGTTCCTGACGATGAACTCGGAGGACGAGCGGCGGGACGCCGAGGAGCGAGCCTCGCTGAGGAGAGCCCGGAACAACATCCACCTCAAGCCAAAAGAGGACAGCCGGAGCAGCAACGCCATTTTTCTCCCCGCGGAGGACAGGACGAGCCAGATGAACCTGATCCCGCTGGTCCAGGAGGACGCGGAGAGGCAGCGGCGCCAGTCGGCCAACTCGGCGGCCGCGGTGCCCTCCTTCTGCACGTGCCTGTGCTACAGACCCCAGGTGTGCGGCAGCCCCGTGCCCTCCCACCCCGAGACTCTGAGCTGCCACACCAACCCCGTGTACTACAACTCCATCTCCTACAAAATCGACGAGGTGTCCCTGAGCACGCGGGGTCAGACCGGCTCTTCCCCGGGGAGCACTTTGTCATCCAACAGCCCTCGCTGCCGGCAGCACCCCCGGCTGCGCAGGAAATCCATCTAAGGAGCGCGTGCCAAGCTGCACCCAGCGCTCGAGTCTTACCATGATGAAAAATTAAGAACAGAGATGCCAGGTTCTTCTTACTCTCTCATTTCTTCTGTTACTCTCCCCCTTCAGCTGGCAGCCAGCCCCATGCAGGGTCCAGCAGGAGCCTTTAAACCCTGTCGAGAAATAAGTACTCCTTTTTTGCAGGCACTGAATGACATTGTCGGTTTTTATTTGCTTTTTCCTCCCAAGTAGGTTCAGGCATTTGGGTCTGGCAAGAGCCCCCCTGGTGTGAAGCCCGGCGAGCTGTAGGTTTGCTTTCCCACCTCCCTGCTCCCCAAAGGGTGCTTTGCTGCTTTCCCACCCTGCCAAACCTTGGCTGTGGCTGCTGCCAGCACATGGCTCCTGCTCCATGGGGTGGGTTGCACTTGCTGAGAGTACCAGAAGCAGGGCCCATGTGAGTGAGCCCTGCAGGGTTGGGGGCCTTTAAGTTGTCCCCTGACACTGGATGCAGGTAAGTCAGTGCCATGCAGTAGGTTTGCAGCTGGTGATGGGCAGGAGGGAATGGGCTCAGCACATGGGGATGGCTTCATGGAGTTGCATCTCCCAGGCCTTTAGGCTGGCTCAGTGCTTCTGGAAGCTGGAGGCCCATGCACTCACCCACTTGCCCACCAGCACACCGTACCTCTTACACCTTACTGCCACTGGTGGGTCCTGAGCTGGCTGGTGGGATGCTGTGTCCCACTCACAGGGGAAGCTGAACTCCTGCAGTCCTGCCCAGCCCTCCTTTGCTGAGCCCGCACTGTGCTAAGGACAGCCCCAGGGAGAGCCTTCCTCAACCACACAAAGTCACTTGAAAAGGGCTTGGCCTTGAGGAGACTTTTTTTTTAGCTAAAATCACCCCTCCCTTCCCCACCTTTCCTCCAGCTGGAAGCCCCAGCAGGAGTGCCAGCTCCTCACCTCCTCACAGTCCCCACGAGCCCCTGGGTCTGTGTTTATTGCTGCTGGGATTACCTGAGGGGGCTGATCCCATCCCCACGTGCCCCCCACACCTAGGAGGCTCTTTCCAGCTAGTGGCCTTTGTCCATCCTGTCTCATCTGCAGGAAAGCAGGACTAGGCTCTGACAGCGGCAGGAGCCCTGTCTCACTTTTTTTTTCCCCAGTAAAGGGACATTGTCACTATTGGCTCTATCTAAAATACCCTCTGAGGGGGTTTTCCTGAAGGAAAATCCACTTTTCTTGATGTGAAGGCATGGAGAGTGCCAGTGTTGGAAAGGTCTCAGGGCAGGCTTTGCTCTCTCCCCTTTTGTTCTGGGTGGCAGCTTAATAAAAGATGAATCCAGCTGGTGGTGGTTGGTTATTTGTCACGAGGAGGAGCAGAGGGATGTGTCCAAGCCCCAAACCCCAGAGACTGCTGGGGAGCTTGGCTGCTCAGGGACCACCTGAGCCCTGCTTTGGAAGCTGGTGATGGTCTGAGGGTGAGAGATGCTGTTCACCCCCAGGTGCCCCCAGACACTCTCACTGCTAAAGAAACCCTCCCCCTCCTCCCTCCACCACTGCTCCCCAGGGGCTGTAGCTGGGGCAGGTGAGGAGCTGCCCCTTGGTCCTGCCCCGATGACCAGCAGAGGGATGTGGAGGCACAAGAAAAACCTTTAAGAAAATTCTCCATGAACTATGACTTGTGATCCCTCATTGCTCCCATATGGGAAAAGGGCTTGTGGCAGCTCCCCAGGGAATGCTGCCTGTTCTCACCACCCACTTTTTTCTGCCAGCAGTCTTCACCTCCAGGGCTTAAAAATCACCCTTGAACAGCCAGGGCTGGGCATGAAGGATCTTGGGAAGAAAACAGCAGGAGCAGAAGGCTTTGGACTGGGGTGGTGAGCAGAGTACAGCTGGGAGCAAGCTGAGCTCTGTGCCTGGGGAGGCCCATGGCCCAGTTTCATCTGGAAGTGTCACAGGGGAATGCAGGTTTGAAGCTGGGGCTGATTGAGGGAGCTAGAGTGAGGGCCCTTCCACAAAGAGCACTGGCAAGGAGCCTGGGACAGAACTGGGACACACCAGGATGAGTTGCTCTCATTCCCCACAGCCACAAGAAGAAGGGAAAGCCCAGTTGAAATCAGGCTGAAGACCAGGGTGGTGGCAACAGAGAGGGCACAGACACTCCACAAAAAAACCTCCAACACACCATAGGAAAAAAAAAGGTTTTATTATCACCATTATCAACGTTTTCATTAGCTTAACACTGAATTGTAAATCACTCAATCATTACATATTGTCTGAATAAAACCTACAGACAGGAAAAAAGTATAGCAGAATCCTCTCCTGACTACAGGACGTGTCCCACCTTCCACCCAAGGCAGCCCACGCACCTCGCAAGCCACTCACCCCCGGGGCAAAGGCTGCCCAGCTCCATTGCCTGTGTTCCCTCCGGCTCCACGGAGATTACATCTCACCACACGATGTTAAAAACCTCCAATAAGTTTTGGAGAGAGGTACCAGAGGCCAAAAAGAGGCAGATCAGCTGCCCCTGCTCCTACGGAAAGGCAAGAGGAGTGCAGTGCCCCTGCAAAGCTATTGGGTTTTGTGAAGCGATTAATGAAGTAAAAAGGGTTAACCCATGAAAGCAGATTTCCCTATACTGGCCAGGCCCTGGCAGGGGGGGGAACAAGGCAGAGCACCTGCACGCTGGAGTGGGGAGGTGAGGGTGTGGATGGGCTGGGGATGGCCCCATCCCCGAGCAGAGGCCAGCTCTGCTGCACCGCCCCGGGGCTCCCGGCGGGCAGCCTGGGAGGGATGTGTCAGTGAAAAGAGATGCCCTGGGCAGCCTCAGTCCCCTCGGGCTGGATAAGGCCTCGTATGGAGAGGGAAGGGAGCAGAGGGCGCTGGGGAAAGCAAAGGGAACCTGGAGGAAAGCTAGCTGGGAGCTCCCCTTCTCCCTGGGAAGCACAGGGGCAGATCCCGGTCTGTCCTCTCCTGGCTGTCGGTGTGGCACATCCCACCTGCCTGCGCTGGGCAGCCCCTGCAGAAGACCCCTTGCTCCTTCCAAGGATGGGAAAGGAAGGACCCCCTGTGGTTTGAATCTGGGACTGCCACAAAACGTGGGCAGGACACGGGCATCCCTGGTGGGTGGCAGGCCATGGCAGTGCTGCATGAGGGGGTCTTGGGGGAGGCACTGCATCCCCGGGATGCCCTTTGCTGTTCCCTGGTGCAGGGAACAGCCTGCAGGGAGCAGGAGAAAGGCAAGCCCAGCGTGGTGAGGCTGTGGGATCGTGCCTTGGACTCGTTCTCCAAACCTTGCTTCCCTTTGCTCCAAAGCCAAAAGCAGCTCCAGGTCGAGGAGATGGAATCACCAAAGCAGAGACCAGTGTGCAGCACTGGGTAAGGAGCAGCAGCCACAAAGCAAAAACTGCTGTGGGATTTCAAGCTCCAGGCTGGCTATTAGTGGGACCTGGAGCACCTATCCCAACATGTGGTGCCCAAGCAACTACAAAAACCAGCTCCTGGAAAGCCTATGGGATGGCTTCAGCATCCTGGATCCTTCCCTCGGGTTGCTTCTGCCCCCATCCTGCTCAGGGAGTGGAGCTCACAGCTGTGCCCTCACGGCCTCTCTGCCAGACACAGCCCTTCCCTCTCCAGCATGGGGGTCTCGAGCCCACCTGAGGTGCCCAGCATAAATGCCAAGGCTGTCTGCTGACCTGGCTGAGCGGGGCTGAACAACACAGCTTTGGGTGCTGTTTTAGCTCCTGGGAAGTCATAAAGGGAAAGTCGATGGGTTGTCGCCTCTGTTTGCTGGTGCTCTGGAAAGGGCTGGTGCAGGGTCCTTCTGTTACAGCCTCTTAAGTGCAAAGAACCAAATGCTACAAGAAACTCTCCCTGGTTCCTCCCCTCCACAAGAGTAAGAGCAGCTACCATGGGGGAGGGAGGGCAGAGGGTGTCTACACTTTGAGAAGAGCCTGAGGTTCCCCAAGAATGACTGTGATGCTGCTGTCGTGGGTGAGCAGCTGGGGCTGGACGTGTGGCTGCTTGGTCACGGGGATGTGGCCACTGAGCAGAGGAGCCTGGCAGTGTGAGTGGAAAACTCGTCAGCCATATTTTGAGAACACCTAATCACTTGCAAACTCCCTGGGGAATTAACGTGTTCTCAGACACACACCTTGGCTGGTGTGCACTGGAGTAAACATGAAAAGGTTTTCACTGATCATCCCCTTTTCTAAATGTTTGGCTCAAATTTGGTAGCTGCAATTTCATTTTAGATGCTCCCTCCAGGTTTCAATATGCCCTGGACTCCTCTACTGACGGTGCTTTGCATTTACACCTCTCTCTCTCTCCTCAAAGCGTTTCACAAAAACCAGGAATTCTTCCATCATTCCTCCAGGCTCCCAGCACCACTGGGACTTGCTGCCTGCACAGCCAGCAGTCTGGCAGTCTTGAGAACAACATAGAGACCTGTCCTATGGGAAATGCTGCAAGGAATCCACAGGCAATGAACTGGGATGCCATTCTGAAGCTGTTTTATTCTATGCACTGCACCAATGATGGAGCTGACTTAAAATCCAATATCCTGATCCTGCCACTTTGGAAAAATCTTCAGGTGAGCCCAGCACTAGCAAAATTGTGGAGAATGGCACAGAACAGCCTGTGCCTGTTTCACCCCTCAGTCCCCCGTGATCCTCTGCGAAGGTGCAATCGCTCTGCCTTGGGTGGAATTTTCTAACAAAATGGACAAATACCACCTATGAAATGGACAAAATAACCCACAAAGCCTTTAAAGAAGAGCAGCCCAATCTGCTGCTCTAAAAAAAGCCTCCCTTTAGCTTGCCCCTGGTATCTCGAGGAAAATAGGCAGCTGTCAGGCAGAACTGATGTGGCCCCAGAGTGCAAAGGCTTTTTTGCTTTATCAGGGCTACGGTGGCAGTGGGAACCATTCTCGTCGAGTTACAAATACTAGATAGCCTAAGAAAAACCAGGAGATTGAAACAGTCATGAAGTTTATACTGAAACTATTTTTTACCTCTGTAGTATGAAGTCACCTACAGCTCTTTCATTCCTCACCTAAGAGAGATCTCATGTCGATGGGCACAGACACTCACAGAGAAGTCTATAGGATGAATATATCTCACAAGGCAACAGCCCAGTCTTTGTTTTTTACAGTCAAAGTTAATATGGATCTTTTTCGAAAGTGATGTCGTTGAGATTGAAGACAATTATAAACTGTATCAACAATATGTACTACAGCCTGCAAGTCACAATCTGTGCACACCAAATGGAATATATTATTGCTTGGTAGCCTATTAGACTTTCTTTATAAAAAGATTTTTATACAGAGTACAGGATTATGACAAAACTAGCTAAGTAGTTCTCATCTTGAAAATACAACATCGATTCTTTCAACAAAGTAGCTGAGAGTTAATGAATGATAACAAATACTTACTAATAATTTTATGGCCAGTTTGAACAGAATTTCTTATAGGACTCTTTTCTGGTGTTTATTTACATATGCCTCTTTTCTTTTGGAAAAAAGTTGTTAAAATATAACAAGGAACATAGAAATCAAAAGAATGAGTAAACTTCATACCAAGAACATCAAACATTTTTGAAAACACTAAATTATGTTACCTGTTAAAAAACGTACATATCATTTTGTCTTTAAAGAAAAATATTCTTCCTGTTTTAAAATATTACCAACAGCATGTAATAAACTAACTTAAAATGAGTTTCATAAAAAAGTTGTCTTGCTGTCTAAACATTACTAAACATGCTTAGGTTGAGATTCTGTTAACTGCCTCAACATCTTAAAAACAGCTCCTTTACAGGAACTTGTGATATTCATACTCCAGAAGACCTGCAAATTTAGAACAGTACATTGATAAAGGATCTGGTAGCTAGGAACAATAAATATATATTTTCATTCAAAGCAAATAATGCTGCAATGTCCTTTGAAACAATCCATGCCCAAGAAGTGGGGATGCACTCGACTGAACAATAAAGTCACCTGGCCCTTACCCTGCCCAAGGACACAAGTGCCCACATGGCTCTGACTGCAGGATGAGGACCCATGGATTGAACTGCAGACTGAGGACCTTGTGCTGGCTCTGTGCCACCCCAGCTGTGTTGGGGCAAAGGGAAAAAAAACACCAAGAGACTGGGAAAATACCCTTTTTTTTTTTCCTGAACAAACCAGGACCAGCCACGGTGATGGCTGCAAATTTTTGCTCAGAGCACAAAGAGGACAAAGCCACATGTGAGGCTGCTCTGCCTGTGTGCAGGGGATTCCCACTGGGGGGAGATTATTCTGCTCTCAGCATCAAGATTTGTTTTCCATGGGAATAGTAATGCAGATAAC